TATTTTGTGAAATAACGATTGTCTGTTAAATCTGTACCACGAACTGCTCGTAAATTTCAAAAACGATGTGATCATCCATCTTTTTTTCGTCAATTTACAAAAAAATTCTTAAACTTACAAACTTAATCCTCAAATTTTGGACGTTTCAGGCATTTTTTCTTCCTTTATAGTAAGGTAACAACGGACGAAAACGCATGTTTTCAGACTTGCTTTTACAATCATACTTCTAAATTAACGATTTCACCTGTAAATTTAAGAAGCAGTTTGTAAAATGATGAACAATTTGTCAATTTACAATTTACTTTGTAAAAAAAAACAGTGCAGTTCGTGGTACAGATTTAACAGGCAACTATTCATAAAAATAAAGCTCGATTTGTAAGAAAACAAGTTTACGCGTGATAAAACGAGAATAGTCGTAAGATAACGATTTTAGCAGTAAAACTACGATCTTTCGTCAGTAACATTAAGATTTCATCGTAAAATTTCGAATTTATTCCTAAATTTATGAGTAAAGTTTGTCGAAAATATGACAATTGTTCATTTCATGAATCTTGTAGTTATTTTACGAATTATTATTTGTAAAATTACAACACTAATTGTTGGAATTACTGTTTTAAAATAACGACTTCTCTTAACAGTACACATGCGTGTTTTCATAACGGCGGTAACAGAGGTAGCGCTCTGCTCTTTTCGCCCTTTACTTCACACCTGATGAGTTGGTGAGGCATAATGCACCCTTTTAATGTCTTATTTCCATTAAGTGGATCTTTCCCGTGGTGTTCTAGACATTTTTGATTTATTTGTTTAGACCGCCTGTCATAGAAGTTATATATTCAATAATTTTTTTTGTTAGCTTTTTTGTTTGGAGCAGTGCTATTTTGGAGGAATGTTATTTGTGTGTCCATTCTCAGCTGTGTGTGTAATGTCTCTTGTGTCTTTTATGCCATGATTTCTGGTCCATTTTTCGTCGAATGCCTTTAGGCGTTTAGAAACAAATTGTCTTGTCTTCTATCAGTCGTGTAGTGGTTCACTTGTTTTTGTTTAACATTGATTAAAGTTTGTTTTGACAACTGCATACAGCTTGAAAATCAACTTTTTTTTCACTTCCTTCGTGCAACTGTTTGAAAACTGTTTGAAAATATAAAACAGACACTAGGGAATTGGTAACACCCTTCAACTTTTATTTCCTAGCTCATTCCCCATTAAGGTGAGGACATCATCAATACAAAATCTTGCTTCCATCAACTTCTGCTCCTGACTTATCCTCTGTAGATTTCAGATCAGGTATGTTGAGCACGTCAGCAGTAAGGTTGTTGTTCATTATTGAGTTAGCATTGATTGTTTGGACCATTTTCTTTGCAATTGCTTCACTGCGAAACTGTAACAGAGAGTAGATCATGAGGAGCAATGATTGATTTCAATGCAGACGAGTGACCCATTGCATGTGGAAACTCACGTCTACTAATATTTTCGGCTCTTTTTGTCATAATCCCGGAAGGCAACTACCGCAGTTCCAGGAGTGTGGAGTTAAATCTTATGCTCGGTTCTCAAGCTTTTCTAGGTTCAGTATAAAATTTCTCTGAAAAGATTGACATTCAAAGAGAGAGGGAGAGAGAGAGAGAGAGATATGCCAACTGACCTCCAAAACAAGTTTGGGCAGATTACCTACTCCATCAATACCTGAAAATACTCATTTCTGTTAGGAACTTGATCAGATTTAGAAGCTAAGTTTAATAGCAATAATTTTAAAACTTTACCCATGACACTTTCTGAGTGGTGCAGTCCGGGTGCAGTATGGACACTTCACGAGGGGGTATGCGCTCTCTGAACCTGTGTACCGACTATTACGCTATTACGCTCTATTACGCCACAAAGTAATCGGAATGTAGCTAAAAACGGCCTAAAACACACCAAAATTGATAAAATTTTGACAATTTCGGCTATTACGCGTGTTATTGCGCGTGCTATTACAGATAGAGTGAACCGACTATTACGCGAGTGCATACCCCCTCGACACTTCACGTCCTTCTGACCACGCCTCTTCTAGGTCCTCGAGGAACTGGAACTGTTCATAAAAGATTTTCTTGCCAGAGTGATTGAGAATTCCATCTTCCTTATTCTTATCACTGGCACTCAAAATTTTCGTCAGGGGTCCTGCTGACATCCTCTTAGTGATTGTCCTTTGGGCCGCTTTGGGCCTCCCTCTCCACTTCCGAATTTTGCCCTCACCCAACGTTGAACTCCTTGTGCCACCGTTCAGGAATAAGATTTTTATCATACCAGGGAATACCTGGAGAAAGAAGTTAGATCAGCGGTTCTCAACCTTTTTCAGTTCGCGACCCCAAATTTGTAGCCAAAAATTTCCGCGACCCCCAGGAAAAATTTCGTGACCCCACGCGACCCCTCCTTTAGCATGCCTTTGATACAAAGTGCGATAATCCAACTTAGTTTGGAAGCAGTATTGCCGCAAAGTTAATCAAAACGGTCACAAATGTCTTTGAAAAATCGTGTTTTGGACCGACTTTAAGCACCCACTGCGTCTGATCCAAGGCGGTATTTCGTCCTCCCTCAACGGGCAATTGGTCTTTGCATCTTCCTTTAGCACGCCTTTGTTGCGGAGTGCGATTGTCTGACTTAGTTTGGGAGCAGTATTGCCGCAAACTTGATCAAAACGGTCACAAATGTCTGAAAAATCGTGTATTGATCAACTTTGCGGCAATACTGCTCCCAAACTAAGGCAGATAATCGCACTCCGTAACAAACGCTTACTAAAGAAAGGTCCAAAGACCAATTGCCCGTTGAGGGAGGACGAAATACCGCCTTGGATCAGACGCAGTGGCTGCTTAAAGTCGGTCCAAAACACGATTTTTCACAGACATTTGTGACCGTTTTGATCAACTTTGCGCCAATACTGCTCCCAAATTAAGGCAGATAATCGCACTCCGTAACAAAGGCATTATAAAGAAAGGTCTAAAGACCAATTGCTCGTTAATGGAGGACGAAATACCGCCTCGGATCAGACGCAGTGGATGCCTAAAGTCGGCCCAAAACACGAATTTTTAAAGACATTTGTGACCGTTTTGATCAACTTAAAAGTTGTTTCCGCCAGTGCTCGGCGTGTGGGTCAGCTGGGAAACCGCCGCCACCCCAAGCGACCCCAGTTACCTCGCCGCGACCCCTCGAAATTTTTTCGCGACCCCATTTGGGGTCGCGACCCCAAGGTTTAGAGCCGCTGAGTTAGATGCCATCACATTTATTAAGACAAATTACCAAGTACATAATAAAATGATTTGCCAGCTTTTTTCTTCTCAATAATAATGTGCCTGCAGGGGATTCTGATACTTCTGAAAAATATGCATGTGCACTCGTCAGTAGACACACATTGCCTCTCTGGGGCAGGTGATGGCTTCAAAGCCATCTCATATTGTGCACAAAGAATTTTAGCAGCGTGCAAAGTCAGTTCGTTGCAGGCTTTCTGTTGTCACTGCCTTTTCTGTCTCTCTATTTCTATTGACTTAGTCCAGATTGTTTACAATGAGTTTTGACCTAATAAAGTAATAATAATAATAATTGGATCATTGCAGTTTTTAATGTGAACCGTCTTAGTCAAGGTTTCATGGTCTCTGTACCGAAGGGCATCATCCCGATTCCCTCGAATAAGGTCTACAAGCCTGACACGGCTTCGTATAGTGGAGTATCAACATCAGCAACCTGCAATAAAGAAACCAATAGTAAGAAAAAGTTGCCAAGACAACAAATAAAAAGGAAAGCACTTCTCTCTCAATGTAATCAATGATCATTACGTAACGTGCACAATTTTGTGCAAAGCTGGAACAAAAAGCTACTTAGTAATTTAGTGTAGAGAATTGTAACTCCAACGTTATTTGAACCCCGGTCACACTGACAGAAAAATAACACATTGCAGGCATCCGACCAACCGAATTGGGAGAGTTGAAAACATGTAGGCTTAACAAGGGCGCGGGACGAGCTCACCGATTTCGGGAGCAGGTCTACCCACACACTGTAAAAAGTTCCGTACTTTCGTACGGAAATGGTACAGAAAAATATAGTGCGGAGGTACGAAGAAAAGTACGGAACGATCCGTACTTGCTCCATATGAACCCATTTAAATGGGTACGGAAAAAAGGACGGAACGTTCCGTGGTTGGCAAGTACGGACGTTCCAGGCAAATTATTGACCAGAAATGTTCCGTACTTTTTCCGTACTGTTTTCTCACAGTGCACTTGGGGTCTCGCACAGCTAAATTTCCAAAGCTGGAGTGAATTCTTGAAGTTGTTCCAATCGGCATTGTTTTTTAGAAGCAGCTTTGTCTTGACAGGACAAACAAAAAAACATGTCAACACATGTCTTAGGTTTGGGTGGGAAATGGAAAAGTAAAGTCAATGAACAAAGGTCTTCAGGGTAATTTTTTCTTGTTTTGAAGTGAGACAACTTCGTCATTTCCGATCCGAAGCTCTGACATGTGTTGGCAATGTTTTGTTTGTCTCGTCAAGACGAATCTATTTCTGTAAACTAATTTGGACAAACTTCGTAAACTCTCTGAAATTCCTCAAATTTGAACACTCTTCAAAGCTTGTAAAGAAAAGCTCTTCGCAGTGTGAAGTGTTTTCCGGTTTGGTATTGAAAACACTACGAACTTTTTTCTTCGCATTGCCAATAGGATATGTTACACAGAAAAATGTTTGCAACGTTACAAAGCATTTTCTTCGGAACCTGCGAAACCAAATTTGGTGAAAACCAAATTTGGTGAATATTAGGCCACGGGAAGTCCTCGGACGGCGGCACATCTACAGCTCGCATCACCCGGTATTTGTTTTACAAATAAACGGGAGGGGCAAAAAAAAAAGTAATGAGGAAAAGTCAGTAATAGGGCCCTATGTTACGCCAGTCCGTGTGAGCAGACGGGAGGTGGGGGTAGGGGGGTTTCGCCTGCTGGAGGTTGCGTGGGGGGGAGGGAGGGGGGAGGTGACGCGGTCCGTTGGGCGAGAGCGGGGGAGAACGGGGGTGAGCACTACTGCCGCAGGAGCGACGCTGCAACGTGAGCAGTGAATCACGGCCGCAGAACGCAGGTCGCGTCGCAGTCAAGTTCAGTGCGTGGACGGTGTCACAAGGGTGCAGACGTGTCTTCTGCTGAACCGTTGCTTACGCTGCTGTGAGTGAGTTGCTGCTCGTCGCTTCAAATACATCCTCTCATCGTCCATTGCCATCGAGGCTTCTTCTTCGCTCAGGATTGTTCTACATCACTGTTAATCAGGTAACATCAACGCTTTCAGCATTGTTTGTTCTTTGATTAGGAACGATAAACGTAACACCTCGGTTTGTGCTTCCATCATTATTTCATCTTTAAGATACGACTACCCGGTTGAGAGTTACTCTTTACTCTTAGAATAGACTTAACTACTTGTAGTTGCCGTTCTTCGATTCTACTTCTCTGTCAAGGAAGAATTTAATCCGCAACTTTTAACTGCTGTTTCCGGTCTCACGTTTTCCTCATTGGTCGTGTAATCGGGGGTTTGGCAACGTTCACGTTTCGTGCTTTCGTAAGAAGAGTGAAAGTTAATTTGAGTTTAATCTTGGTTGAGGACAATTGCTATCGTAACAGAATGTTCTTGGATCGTTGACCGGAAGTCCTGTTGGACGGGACTTACCTACTGCTTGTAATATCGATGATTGTTATCTGTACGCGGTACCATCACAACATGTGGAGTAGGGATTCAGAAGTATTTCTTACTATCCTAAATGATCGTTACTTTTTGTCGTTGCTTTTGCATTCGACGGTCATCTTCCTGTCATGATTTCTATGTCGGGCTGTGGTTAGTGACTGTAACGTGGCGTCTTTTGACGTCCGGTTCACGTTGGTTATGCTGGGACGAAGGGAATGGGATACACCGGAAACTGTCACCGCTGCCGCTACTCTTTGATAAAGAAGTGTACGATTTGAATTGTGGACAACTTTGTAGTAGCCTAATTTCTACATTTTATTCTTGGTAATTTCTTGACGAGTCTGGTACTGTTTCCGGTGCGCCTTGATTCCCTTCTGCCCCACATGTTTTTCTGAGCGTTTGTCGTCTTCGAATCACAGGACGTCTTGATACTGAGAGGTGAAAAAAAAGGCACAGAATTGTCAGCTAATTTCTTGTTCTGATATTGTGTACCATCAAACCAACATTCTCCGTAGCATCTTGTCAATCTTCTCCCTACACTGGGAGAAAAAGTAAAGGTTGTGTCTATTAATTCTGATGCCACTTCCCACTGTGCATCGAAAGAGTGTGTTTACCGTACCCAGGGATACTGCTGACTCCGTACTTAAGGAGGGAATTCACTGTACCCTGGGACCCAGCGTCCACCGTACTTTCGAAGCTGTTCAGGCACTACATACGGCCTAAATGGAAATTTCAGTTAAAATCCAAAACTCGCGGTAGAAACGGTATAAATTCTTCGCAACAAGACGATCAGAAAATGATAAGCATGATATGGGCTCAGTCACGATATTCAATAGCAGTAGGCGTCAGAGGTCTAAAACAGTCGGACTTTGGACCGTAATTTTTAAGTCCAATATTTTGCAGTTTAAAATCATCTTTCTTAGACTTCGTAGAAACGATTCCATGGTGGAAACGTACCTCCAAGAATCTGGGTCAATAACGAGCAACGGTGTTTATTATTTATGAAGGCCCGTTCGTGAACTTTCTTTTCAGGCTCTCTAAAATATACAACGTTTAAGCAGATGACACTCGTCTGGTCCGTTTCTATGTTGCAGTCCTTGCATCATCGTCTCATGTCCACTGATTTTCTAAGTGTAATAATAAACTAATTTAAAAAGCAATAACATTTTTATTGCAAAAGTTGCACTGCCAATCCAAGTGTGAGACAGTCTCACACTTTTTAGTGCGAACCACGATGTCTCACGCTGACAAGTGTGAGCCACGTTTGTCCCACGCTTGCAAGTGTGAGACATCATTTGTCTCACACTTACAAGTGCGAGACACGGTTTGTCCCACTCTTCCTGCCTATGGTTCCCTGTGGTTTAATGCCACAGGATCCACGCTCGAAAGTGTGAGACAAACCGTGTCTCACGCTTGCAAGTGTAAGACATACCGTGCCTCACACTTGCAAGCGTGGGACACACATGGCTCACACTTGTAAGCGTGAGACATCGTGGTTCGCACTAAATAGTGTGAGACTGTCTCACACTTGGATTGGCAGTGTGCGCCATGAAAAAGTTATTGCATTATAGGTGCAATAATTATTGTATTGCATTAGCGCATTTATCGCTTTATCAGCGTAGTTATCATTTTATCACACCCAAAACTGGGATAGTCTGGGCCCAGACCGGCCAAAACCTAAGAGACTTATTGCATTTTTAGTGCGATAGTTTTTTTATTGCTGCCACAGATGCGATAATTTAAAGGAATCACATTAGCCTTTTTATCGCAGCAAATTTTATGAAACTTATCACATTAGAACTATCAGTGTCATTGATTGTATATAAAATTTATCCCGTGCCGCTTCTGTAGGTTATAATTTTGTTTGTGTCCACGTGATCTATCGGAGTGTACTTGGCAAGTACACATCTATAGGAGTAAACTTGCCAAGTACACATCTACAGGAGTATACTTGCCAAGTACACATCTATAGGAGTATACTTGCCAAGTACACAGTGTACTTGGGCAAGTATACATCTATAGGAGTATACTTGTGAAAGTGGATAGGCGGTCCAAGTACACTCTTATAGGTGTATACTTGCCCAAGTACACTCCTATAGATGGCAAGTACACTCCTAAGTACACAGTGGATTTTGTAGTGCGCCATAGTGGCGACTTTGCGTACTCGGGATCTGTCAACCCTGGAGCCAAACGCTCTCAGAGTCTGTTTTGCTGACCAGCCGAGTGAGCCATTGCCAGTTGGTCCGCGGTCTGCAGCGTCCGTCTGTTAAAAAACTTAAGGCTAAAGTTACTGAACATTCAGTAGGACATTGTTGGTGTGCATGATTACTGACAACTTTCTTATTTACTGTTTTTCACAGGCTCAGTCATGGCTCAGCTACAGAGATCATGCCTTCCTATTGTGGACCAAGGATGCTGCTGCGATTTGAAGACTTGCTGCAAGGTGCAGGGCTGGATCCAAGTAGTAAGTATTCTACAGAAAGTTCGCTTTCGTTCAGAGAAGTTGTGCATTCGAAATGCCATACGCTAATTCTGTTTCCTTGTTTATGTGCGTAGGTTGGTTCTTCACTTTCAATCATCGCCGCCATCAATGACTTTGCCACCACCTCAGCCATTTGCCAAAACGTCGCCATGGTACGTATTTCCTCGACGTTGCAGGGATTCTCCTCCTACTTCACACTTCACTGTCGTATCACTCTACCAAAAATGTCCTGTCAACGCCGTTAATTTATTACCAGTTTTCACTGTAGGTTAATTCACAGCGTTTACTGTGATCTGCTCACGCGATTCACTGTGATCTTGTTCACGGTGTTCACTGTGATCTGGTTCACAGTAAACACTGTGAGTTTGACGCCGCTGAACACCGAAGTGCTGCAAATCAGGCTCCAATTCACGGCGTTTACTGTGGCCAGATCACAGTGAACACTGTAACCGAGATCACAGTGAACGCCGTGAACTAGTTCACAGCAAACGCCGTGAATTGCATAACAGCAAACATTGGTAATAAATTAACGGCGTTGACAGGACATTTTTTGTAGAGTGATCCCACGCGTCTGTCTTTTCAGCCTTAAGTGAAATTGGCCCAATTTTTTCACCTTTCTTCGTCCGGCTCGTACTGAAGCGTAGTATTACCCTCTGTTTTCAAGCGTAATCAGTTCACGCTTGAAACCAAGCTCAAAAGGCTGATCGCCAAGATTCCCCTCATCTAAATGCATGGGGGAGTTCTTAGTGTTGCTTTATTTCAAGCGTAACGTCTCCAAACGTAGCTTTATGTTTGACTTAAACCTCGATTTTGTGCTTGCGTGGAATTTTCACAACATTTTGCGGAAAAATGCAGAAATTTATGCACATTTGAGCACAATTTTATGCAAAACGTTACGCAGGGTGAAAATTAGGCATTATGACCCCCAAAATTGTACTTAAACATTAAGCGTAGCGTGTGCGGAACGCGTTGCTGAGTTTTTTAATTTCATTTTCACCTTCTCTGTTGTTATTCTGCAGGCAGGTGGAGACTGTTCCACTGACGGTCGAATTGCCGCCACCCATGCGATCCAGGGGATCAATTTCATCGCGCACGTCATCTTCTTGGCCGTCGCGATTCTCTTCCTCGCGGGCATCCACAGGGTAAGCCTTCTCTCCACGGGAAAAACGGTCCCTGGCTTTCCCAGGAACTCCCTGGAAATTGCTTATGTCTCCACCATGGGCTTCGTGGAAAAACCAGGTACCGTTTTTACCGCGTCCGTCTCCCTCGGTATGGAATTTTTTTGTCTTTGCTCAAGCTTTACTTGGGTTTCTCTCATCCTCGTCCATTAGGACTGTCTAAGCACCTTAGAAACCAAAAGAAGCATTTGTTTTTGCACTATTTCAACACACTAAATTACTACGTAGGTTTTTCTGCGCCGCAAGGCACGAAATTAAACATGCACTTCGTAACGCACGAATTTTGTGCGCGACAATGCACGATTCCGTGCGTAAGTATGCAGAAAATCGTGCATTGTTGCGCACAAATTTGTGCGTTACGAAGTGCATGTTTAATTTCGTGCATTAGCGCGCAGAAAAACCTACATAGTAATTTAGTGTGAAATGTTAACTGTCTGCTCTTAAGGTTAGAATGACTATCAGTTTGTAGTAAAATTTGACCCTGAATAAGATTACAACTTTTGTTGCATTTTGCTCTGCCTCCAATGGTGAGTCAGATAGAGGCCCACTCTTACGTTACCGAAGTTTATCTCATCAAACGTATTCGTTTAAGCAAGGATAATACTTAGTATTTTCCAAGTAAGAAGGACTAATTTCGTTAGTAAAATTATTTACCTCAACAAATTATTGCTATTTAGTTCTGTATGTATTTTGGATTTGGTTGCACTAGTTACTTGCCTAATTACTGACGAATTGAATAAAGAGACAAAACACTCTCAGAACATTGCGAAGAATGTGTTCGCAATACAAACCATTTGGTTTGCAGCTTGCGAACAGTTTCGCTTGATTGTATTACGAACTGGTAGTTCGCAATTTTGCGAACATTGTTCGCAAGGGTTCGCAACAAGGGTTCGCAATACAAACAGGTTGTTCGCAAATTGCGAAGCACTTGTTCGCAAGTTGCGCACACTAAATTACTATGTAGGTTTTTCTGCGCGCCAATGCACGAAATTCAACATGCACTTCGTAACGCACGAATTTCTGCGCGTCAATGCACGATTTACTGCATACTTGCGCACGAAATCGTGCATTATCGCGCATAAATTCGTGCGTAACGAAGTGCATGTTTAATTTCGTGCATTGGCGCGCAGAAAAACCTACATAGTACTTTAGTGTGGAATTACTGATTCGCAATGCGGATGCGTTTTTCGCGTTGCGAACAAGTATAGCTCTTTGCAAGCTTACAAACACTTTGTTTCGCAAGGTTTTAAGAGTGTAGCGTGCTGAGAGTGTATGGAGCTGGAAGTATTAACAACAGGGTTTGTACAAATCTTGGGATCATTAAAATCGGGGAAATGTCAGGGAATTTCGCTAAATGCCAGGGGAAAATATATTTACTGCGACACTTGTCCTGTTTGCTGGACAACCGCGGAGGAGATCGCGACACACCGGTCGTTCGCGTTCAACTCAATCAGTGTTTTGATGCGCTCAATTGTCAGGGAATTTTGCAATTTCGCCCCAGGAAAACCGGGAAAAGTGAGGGAAAATCTCAATTATTTTTTTTTTCGTACAAACCCTGAACAACCTCCAAGGACTCGTTTTGATCGTTTTGAAGCGATGTCGTTTAAGTCAGCTATCGGCCCGTACCTGGTAACTTCCGATGAAGTAAATAAGGGGCTGAAAGTGCACTGAGAAAACCTTACAAACTATTTTGGGCCTTACAAAGAAAAGTAGTTTGTATAACAAAGTATTTTGAGCATACGTAAGCTTACAAAGAAAATACTTTGTAATTTACGAACTATTTCTTCGTATAACAAAGTATTTTAGTTTGTTATACGTATGCTCAAAATACTTTGTGAGGTTTTAAGAGTGTGTGCGTGTTCTCACACAATTTTGCGCATTCGTGATTTTCGTACTAATTTGTACGATTCTGTGCACTCATTCGCATGAAGTAGTTCGCGTAGTTCAAAAAAACGTGATACCTCGCGATACCTCGCTCAAAATTGCTTAAATACAAGAGTGCTACGGATGGAAGCTTCAAACTGAGATTCTGAGCTGATGCTAGACCAAGTTTTAATTTTTGCCTGAATCCTCTCTACGTTCCAGCGCCTGTTAATTATTATTATTATTATTTTTGTTTGCAGGGTGAGCCTAGCAAGATGGTGCACTACATTCGCATGATATGGGTCCAGCTCTTCTGGTCCAGCATCTTCGCCATCGTCGGTGCTGTTGTAGTCACACCCTTATTCCTTATCACCTTCGTGTTCCTGGGTAAGTATTAAGTTGAAAGTGTTTTGTAATGCATGTTGCTGTTTAGTCGCGGATCCACACGGTAGAAACGTAACCTGGTTTTCCCAGGAAGCATATGGTAGAGACATAGGCGGTTTCCAGGGAGTTCCTGGGAAAACCAGGAACAGTTTTTACCGTATACTGTAATTCAACACATCTGATGTGACGTCTTGGTCGTTAAAACGTAAGTTTGAATTCGATCGAATGATGATCGATGCCTCTTTCTTGACACCTTGATGGGAAGTTCAAACGAGTGTGACATCGAATTCGAACTAACGTGACTATTCAAACGAACGTGACAAAATTCTCAGTCCAAGGAAAATGACGGCATTCGTTGAACAACGGTGCATAGCTCGCCCCGCATAATTTTCATTTAGATTGCTAGCCTAGGGGGCGACCTCGTACACTAGATATCCTGAAAGAGGAGATTTCGTCGAACCTCTCATAATTTGCCGCACTGAGAATCCAAACGCTATGAGTATAGCGTCACACGGCAAAAACGGTACCTGGTTTTCCCAGGATCCCTATGGCGAAGACATAGGCGATTTCCAGGGGGCTCCTGGGAAAACCAGGAACCGTTTTTACCGTGCAATTGGTGCAATACAAAAGCATTGCACATGAAGTGCAATGCCTTCCCATTCCCATGCATCAGCATAGGGCCTTTTTGGGATGCATTGCACGTAAGGTGCAATACGACTGAGGCATTGCACGTATGGTGCAATATCTCAGGTGCATTGCACCATACGTGCTATACTCATAGCGTTTGGAATCTCAGTGCGGTTTACTCTTTTTTTCCTTTTAGGGGATACGTTTCAAATTTCAAGGGACTTCAGATTTCTCAGTGATCATACTAAATTCCGCTGTACCTTTTCAGTACATGGTCTTGCAATGTTAAGCATACGCGCTCTTGTGCAAATCTGTGCGCAATTTGGCACGAATTTGTATGATTCTGCGTTCAAATGTGTGCGAACAAATTCACATGCTTAAAGTTGTGTGAGATCATTTACCAAATTATTCAAGTAGTACATTATCTCTAAGATTTTGTGGTTCGTTGCCCCTAAGTTCATAGCTTAACCTGCGTCGCAGCTTCTCCGTTTCTTCTCTACAGCGCCCTTACCTTATGCCAGCGGAAATGATAACTTTGGCATTTTTCTTCTCAACAGGTATCACCGTCTACTCCCTCATCTGTGCCAACAGCCTGCACATCCTGATGCTAGCAGATCAACAGGGCTCGTACATTCATCGAGTGTAATGCTGCAGAACGGTCATTTTCACCGCGTACTCTCGCAGTGGTTTGTTTCCGCATTTTCTTTACCCTGGTACTTCTCCTAGCATTCTTGCAGTGTTTTTGTTTTCTTATGTATTTTCGTGTTTCGGGGCCTGGCTGTACCTTCTTATCCAGTGCATTGTCGGGGTGACTTTTTTTTATTTTTGTATGTTTCTGGTACTGGTCGGACATTTTCTCCGTGCGTCCTCGCGGGGCTTTTTCTTTATTTTCAATTGTCCTGGTCTTGACCTTTATGTTCTCTAGTTTGAGCTATATGTAGTATGGCAATGTAATCGAATTAAAACGTGGTAAATTAATAATTGTGCTTTATTTGTGACATTCTCCCGCCTTTAACACTTTAAGTCCACATAAAACGTTGACGCCAACGGAAAAGCAGTAACAAGTACAGGAAATGTTAATTTTAACAAAATTTCTACTGCATTAAAATATACTAGCAATCTTTTCTGAGAAACTTCCCTCCAAACAGGACCAATATTTGGAACAGGATAATTGCAAAGTGCTTCTAGTAAGCATTAAGGCGCCATGGCGAGCGAAACAAAAGACACCACACGTTCCGAGCCCAAAGCAGCGAAGGGCTGCGCGACAGACGCAAGGGCAATATCGGCCGTGCGGCCATGTCCTGCAGCTGCACGCCAGCAGCGATGGCCCAAAGCGACGCTACCGTGTAAACTTCGAGGGGTCAATCACTCGGAGTTCTAATGTTCGCATGAGTACGGGTGAGTACACCTTTTAACACTCATAAATTTAACATTTTTAAACATTCTTTGGCTTTTTCTGGCAGTTTGGACGACACACAACGCCAAATCGTGTAAGAAATGAGCGAATTTAGCTCTTTCCAGACATTTGAGTACGGGCCAATTTGTACACGAGTACACTAGTGATTCACCCCTCGGTAAACTCACGCTAGGTGCTTTTTGGTGAAAAAGCTAATAACAGTGAAGAAGGCCAGACCTCTGCGATGAGCGCACGGCGGCCACGGCGGACGTCCGCCGTGGTGAACGCCCGCCTAGGTGAACAGACGGCCAGGGACGGCGGCTGCCCAGCAGGCAGACGGACCGATTCTGACGGCGGCTGCGACGGCCACGGCGGCCACGGCGATCGCTCCGTCTGAACGACGGAGCGTTCGCCGCTCGCCCAGGCGACGCGCGACGGCTGCCTGCCGACTCGTCGACCGGCCGGCCGGCGGTGGACGGCGGACGCACGGCGGACGCCTCGGACGCACGGCGATCGTTCACGGCGAGCGACGGCCGGGCCATGGACGTCCGCCGTCGCTCGTGATCGTGGAATTGGCGCTCGCCGCAGAGGTCTGAAGAAGGCAGTCTGCTTATTAAAGAAAAAATACGATTTCAAGAAATCCTAGGAGTCACGAAGTCAATTTGATTATTGTGTAAGAGTGTGGAGAAAGAAAAGAAGTGGTGTTGTGAAGTTGTGGCTCAGGGGACTACCAATGGCAGTGGTACCAATGTGGTCGATGTGCCACCCGTCGAAATTTAAACTTGACAATAAATAGGAATCAAAATGCTGGTGAATTCAAAAAGTTCCAATGCTAATGTATTCCGCAGTGTTCTAACAATGGAACATCTTTAAAGCCCACCATTATTAAAATGTTCTTAGCAGAAAGAAGGCAGTAAACTAATTTTCACGGGTTGGCAACTAGTTTCTCGGCGTCTACGCCCTTGCGAAAATCGCGAAGCTGAAAGCACCAGCAGTCGCGCATTAAAACTGCCCCTCCATTGTTGCTGACGTTGAATTGTTTGGCTTGTTTCAAAAGGCTTTGGTTCTCTAGTCATGTTTTCTTCAATTCTGTGTAATAGTTCTCCCTTACAACGTATCAACACCACGACGGTTGGTTTGACAAACTTCATAAACTCGGGAGGGATGGTTTCAAAACGCGGGTGAGTCTTGTTCGAGGAACATGAGCACTGCAAGTCGCGAGGTGGAGCGAAGTGGTCCTAGTGCTAACTGAATCACAACAACAACAAAATTGTTTTATTGACAGAAAAAAAAGGAATATTTGAGAAACTATATGTCAGAAAAAAAGAACTTTTGTTTTGCTAATTTTCTGTGAATATTTTTTTAGAAAGTCATCACACAATAATTGAAAATTTGTTGTATATGAATTTTCATAAGCAGGAAACAAAGAAAAAACACGAAAGAGAGCAAAATTAATACAGATTTCAAATGCTACAGTTGGTTAAACAGGTTGCAAACCTACTGCGCATGTCCAAAAACACTCCAATCAAGAAGTATTATTGGATAGTTCTACCCGAAAAACTGCGTTCGAACCGACACCAATTCTATTGTTGCATCTTGTCTACCTGCAGTCAAAGAAATTTTTCATTTCGAACGTGCTGATTTCAGCTTTTGGAGTAAGCTGTACAGACCCAAAAAGAAGCTCGGCTATTGGTCCGCCCCGGCTCGGCTCCCCCCACTCCCTTTTTTTTCCTTTGACGAGTCGAGTTTTGCCATGGAAACGGCGATTTTGACAGCAAATTTCTCAAAATTGGCCACCAACTTTTTAACCAGATTTCAGCATGAGAATCAGCGTTCAAAGTTCTACAAGTCTGCAAAGTCTCATTAAAATCGTATAGAAAATTTCCGAAATGCATAAAGGGCCACACAAATTGAATCTCGGGCCGGCTGAATCCTGGGTATACTATAAGGCTACTTCGCGCCTAAAAATACAGAGACTGTCTCAGGGAACTATTTTAATTGAGCACTCTTTTCTACTTGGACGTTGGATTTGTTCGGTTTTCCGCTGTACAAATTTTGGAAGTCGAGGAGGGAACTGTTTAAAAAGTGCAGGCATGCCTTCACCTTAAACGACAGGAAAAGCTGATGAAAAATGAATTGAATTCTTTGTTGGTTGGAACAGTAATGGAGTGAGAAATAATGGATATGAACACACAAAAAACAAGAATATGATACATTTATTAAAAATAAGATAAAGTTACACAACACTTAATTGAATTCTAACTAATTAAAGTTGTACTCAAAAAATCCAGTAGCGTACTGCTCCAGTTGAAGTGTACATACACTTAAGCTCCATGCATGCCTGGCATGTCCACTGTAGATGACGAATACTGGACCACTAGTACTGCGTTCCGCGTATCTGAATGTGCAACATTGCTCAGTCTCCCAAACATTTGCATGGTAAATCACGGCAACAGTGAACATGACAGGCATGCGCTTCCTGAGGTGACTGCCTGCGTACAGGCCAGGCATGTTCCAGGTGATGGATATTAGAGTCCTAAAGACTTAAGTCTTAAGGACTTGGATATGGAACATATGGATATGAGAACATGCATGCACGCTCCACACATGGAGCATAGTACTTGGAATAACAAGTAAAGAGTACACAACACACTTGAATAAATAAAGTTCATTGTTTAGAGAAAGATTATATAAAAATAAAAACTGAACAATAAAATTTATGACCAATAAAATATATATAAATTGCACTAAATGAGAACTAATAAAAAATCAACAGAAATGCATCTGGTAAGACAAAAGCCTGTACAATAAATTTAAAACTTCGTTTCGAACAATTAACAATAACTTTTTAAAGTACCAAAGACAGTCCCTTACTTCAAGTGCCTCATGGCCAGAGCAGAACGTCCAACACATGTAAGTCACAGTTCCCTGATGTAAATTCTTCGGTAATCAAGCCAAGTCGCAGGACCCACACGGCACTCCTTTGAACAGAAAAGAAAATATGGTGGAGGCAAGAGACAGGATTAAATGCGAAGTTCCCTGTCTGAATAATCCCGCTGAAGAAAAGACACTACGCCTCGGTGGACGTGTGCGCCGACCCCAGTTTGGTCAGCGGCGACGTCGTAATCGGCGTGAGAGAAATTTTACTAACCATAGGGTCTCAAAATTTAGTCAATCACAAGTTAAAACTCATATAAGTGCGCAAAAAGAGCAAGTTGTTTACAAATATATTCGTTAAATACGTAACAGACGATTCACTTTCTGGGGGTTTGATTTTCGGCATCTTAATGAACTACGTCGCCAAGGCGGAGAGAGGGCTGGGGAAGGTAAGGCAAAGTTACGATGAGATAGCAAATTTTGGTCAGGAAAACGCGTTTAGCTCAAGAAAACTTCAGTTTTTCGAGGTATTTTATGATCTGAGACCGTCAGCAACAAAAGTGACATTCGCGCCGATTACGCAGACCGAAGCGGCAGCGTCGCGACCGGTCTGCGCGCATCTCTCCGCCACGGACCTTCTCTCACGGACCACAAAATGGCGAGACTCTTGTGTCTGACCACGGCCTTAAGGCCGTAACCGTCCAGCGCATTACGGCCTTTAGGTGGCGGTCAGACACAAAGGTCTCGCCATTTTGTGGTGAGACACTTGTGTCTAACCGTTTTGTGGCGAAACTTTTATGTCTGACCAAATTTTGGCGACTTTCAGGTCTGACCAAAACTTGGCGAGACTTTTATGTCTCGCCATATTTTGGCGCGAACTCAGCAAACTGAAGTGTGTACATAGTACACTCTTAGAGCATGCTTTCAAGTAAACTCTTATTTACAGCATACTTGCTAGGCGTGTGCCTGGCAAGTACACCCTAAAATACACTCGTTTAGTCCTATCTAAAAGCATGGGCCAGTTTAAGTGTACTTGCCAGGTACACTCTTATTTAGCGTGTACATGCAATGTACACTCTATTTTAGCGTGTTCCTAGCAAGTATGCTGTAAATAAGAGTGTGCTTGGAAGCATGGTCTAATAAGAGTGTACTATGTACACACTTCAGTTTGCAGAGAAGTCTTTCCATCCAGTTTGCAGTGTTAGAAAGCATGTTACCCACATAGAGAGAGGAAGAGAGGCAACATGTGGCATGTCTGGCGAAAATTTGTCGGCTGAGTCATGGCCCAGTAGTGAAAGTGCCTTACCTCGCAGTAGTGGTCCGCAGAATGTGGCACGATGAGGGCGTTCTTGACTCGGACCTTCCCGGCCGCGCCGCCACTGCCTTGCACCTCCAGGCAGCTGCCATGCACTCGGACGTGGAGCGGCTGGTAGTCGTCCATCACGGAGCGCAGCTGCTGCACCCACTTGGAGTCGCAAGGCCGCTCCGACACGGCGGCGGGGTCCCCCAAGGAGAGGAGCTTCAGCGTGGCTGGCAACCGCACCAGGGGCTCCGAGTTCACTCTGCAAAGACAGGCGTCCACAGGGGTCATTTTCTAGCTAACAGAGGCAGTACGTCTTGGGAGTTGATGATTGGTTACAACTGTTGCCAAACACCTGCTTGAATTAAAACCAAGTTCATTTGGTTTACTAAGGGTCCGTCGCGCGGGGAAGAACTGGACGGGGAAAGAACTTAACACGCCACATTTTACTTCGGGTACCGTATGCACAGGCATAACAACCATCAAAAGCTCTTCCGTGGCATCAGCGGTTTGTTTAGCCTGCCCTTAGAGGGCCTGAGCGATTAACGGCGCGGGAACGGTGTGAATCGTTCAATGCCCTTGGAAGGGCGTTAAAATTGGACCTGTAAGTCAACGCCTGGCCTAGGGCATAAAACGTTTCTAGGGCGGTAAAGACGGTTTATGCCCTTAAGGGGGCTCATACATGTTAAAAGCACTTCTTGGAATTTTTTAGCAGATGATACGTTCACGTATCAGCGTGCTTGTACTCTCGTGCAGAGAGTACCGAGTTTCCGGCTAGCCAGGCAGCAGTTGCCTCGTTGCCTCACTAGCAAGCCTAGAAGAGGCCGAGCGCCTCGCTGGCAAGGCAGCGGCTGGCTGGCCTGCCTAGAAGATTATGAGCGGAGGGCCCGCAGCGTGCCGCGCCGCGTTGCGGTCCCGCCGCACCATGAATCGGGGCGGCTGCGGGGGCTCGGGTTGCGCGCGCGGCGTATAACCTCGGGCGTATAAACCCAGCTATCTAGTACTCATGAAGTGCCTCCCTCACGTTGCGCGGTGCCGCTCCCCTTCCTCTCGTCACGAGACGCTGCTACGCATCGCGTAGCTGCCCCCCCGCGCCTCTTCCTCTGCCGAGACGCCACGTCCCGCCGCGCCCCGCCACACCCCGCAACTGTCCACACACACACACACACACCCACTTGAACCGTGAGTGCGTAGAACGCATAGTGCAGCGCCCCCTCGAACCCCTGCCCCTCTCGAGAAGCGGCGCGCCGGCAGTCGGCTGTGTGCGCCACTCTTGCTTATCTATCTTGAGGTCGGGTTCGGGTGGCGCGCCGGCCGGCCGGCCCCGCTTGGAGATGTGGCTGACACGCCGCGTGCCGCAAGGCGCCTTGGCCTAGTACCGAACACAACTTTTACGGGTATTGAGTATTTATGTGATTAGCCACCAAATTGTGCATCTTCGCGTTGAAACAACGAAAATGATACCCAACACAAGTGGTATCGGACATGAGTGTCCCACCGTCATTGCGAACATGTTTAACACAAAACAATGGCACGTTAGAATATTCAAAAGTTATACTAAAATTGACATTTTCATGAATTACCATGTGTAAGAAATTTGTCAAAAAAAGAGTTCCGAGTGTTTACTCTTTGAAAGAAATTGACAAAATGTCACATTCATACATTTCAATAAACATTCTCTTAAGTATCATCTGCTATCACGTTAGCGTTAGCGTTAACGTTTTTTTTATGTAGACGGATCAAGATTTTACAGTTTCTGTGTCGAAGCCTTTTTAGATAATTGAGTAAGCTTCATTTTAGCTTTAAGTAAAGTGATTTTGGACATTTTTTGGAAATTTAGTCGAATCGTTTAAAATTTTGGTTCTGGTAAGATTTTGATTGCATACTTGCTCAGATCTGTGGGGGAAATATCAGGGAGACTCAGTCCTAGCGTAGTGTCATGGAATTGACTAGAATGGGCTTCTTATCTGCAATACACTGTGGCAAAAAGGTACGGAAAATTCTGTTAATTTTTTTTGCCAGGATTCTCCGTAGCCCTCTTATCAATATTCTCCGTAGGCTCTTACAGTATTCTCCGCCGCACAGTATTCTCCGTAGGACCTGGAAGACTGTATAGTCCTACGGAGATCACTGTAAGGTCCTACGGAGAATACTGTGCGGTCCTACGGAAAATACTGTAAGAGCCTACGGAGAATACTGACAAGGGGGCTACGGAGAATTACCACAAGCTGTTTACAGAATTTTCCGTAGCTTTTTGCCACAGTGTAGTTTTAAAGAAGAAAAAATAAAAACAATTTTTTAACAATTTTTTAAACAAAGTTTTGAACAAAAAGTTGTTTTTATTTTTTTCTTAAAAACTATTGCAGATAAGAAGCCCATTCTAGTCAATTCTATGACACTACTAGGGATAAGTCTCCCTGATTTTTTCCCCACAGATCTGAGCAAGTATGCGAACAAAATCTTACGAGAACCAAAATTTTAAACGTTTCGACTAAATCTCCAAGAAATGTCCAAAGTCACTTCCCTTTAAGCCAAAATGAAGCTTACTCAATTATCTAAAAGGGTTTTAACACAGAAATTGTAAAATCTTGATCCGTCTACATCAAAAGAAATTTTTTACAAAGTGCTTTTAACATGTATGAGCCCCCTTAAGCAAAAAAGAAGATTATTCAATTATCTACAAGGGTTTTAACACAGAAATTTAAAATCTTGATCCTTTTACATCAATTTTTTTTTTCAAGAAGTGCTTTTAACAAGTATGAGCAACCTTAAGGGCGTACTTTTTCTGCTTTTGATTTACCAGTGAACGCTGTTGTTCTTGACCGAGTTTTCTCATTTATGAAACAGGACGAGTTTGTTGCTAATTTTTAAACTGCACAAGTCATGACTTGAAGGATCATGCCCCTGTGATTCGAATTTGCCAAAAGTGCCCCCCCCCCCACCCTGATTGGAAATCCTGGATCCGCGCCTGGGCCCACGCAAGTGGATTTTCTCTGAGAACCACTCACCCGCCCGTCGTCCGAGGCAGCAGGGCGTGCAGTGGGAAGGTGCTGGGCTCCACGTCCACGCTCAGCGTCTTGACGTGGCGCAACGTCAGCAGGTCCTTGAGAGCAGTGGGGCCGCACTCCGGGTCCGACAGGGCGCAGCAGACGCCACGCAGTTGCAGCCACTGCAAGGATTCCAAGCGCCCGACGAGCGACAGGAGCGCCAGGCTTTCTGCAGTGCTGCAACCTATATGAGAACAAGCATACAGTCAGCAATTTTGCTAGGATGTTGCACACGAAATTACTATGTACGTTTTTCTGCGCGCCTATGCACGAAATTAAACATGCACTTCGTAACGTACAAATTTGTGCGCGACAATGCACTATTTTCTGCATACTTGCGCACGAAAGTGTGCATTTTCGCGCACAAATCCGTGCGTTACGAAGTGCAAGTTTAATTTCGTGCATTGACGCGCAGAAAAACCTACATACTAGTAATAAAGTGTGTGGCTAGCTTACGTTCATCTGGTAGCACGACCAATTTTGGTTCTCATGAGAAGTCAGTGTAATTTGAGACAATCTGTTCAACTATCCTGGTTTCATTTGATTATTCTCTCCTATTTAACTTCACGTCATCAACATGAGATGTAGCTATTGGCCAAACTGGGGGCTGAACGTGTTACCCCGAATTGTCTCATACTTCTTCGCTTCACTACACGGTAAAAACAGTATCTGGTATACCCAGGTGCTCCCTGGAAATCGCCTACGTCTTTAACATAGGCTTCCTGCACTCTACAAAAAATGTCCTGTCAACGCCGTTAATTTATTACCAATGTTTGCTGTTATGCAATTCACGGCGTTTGCTGTGAACTAGTTCACGGGGTTCACTGCGATCTCGGTTACAGTGTTCACTGTGATCTGGCCACAGTAAACGCCGTGAATTGGAGCCTGATTTGCAGTACTTCGGTGCTCATCGGCGTCAAACTCACAGTGTTTACTGGGGACCAGATCTCAGTGAACACCGCGAACAAGATCACAGTGAATCCCGTGAGCAGATCACAGTAAACGCCGTGAATTGACCTACAATGAAAACTGGTAATAAATTAACGGCATTTACAGGACATTTTTGGTAGAGTGTGGGAAAACCAGGAACCGTTTTCTCCGTGTATAGCCTAGGCGGCCTAGGGTTTCAACACAAGGACTGAAGGAGACAGATTGCACATTCCAGTAAGTCATAATAAAATTCAGTCAACATAGTTACTTCACCGCTAATTCGGCAGAGAAATACACACTAAATTACTATGTAGGTTTTCCGCGCGCCAATGCACGAAATGAAACATGCATTTCGTAACGCACGAATTTGTGCGCGACAGTGCACGATTTCCTGCGCAAGTCTGCAGAAAATCGTGCATTGTCGCGCACAAATTTGTACGTTATGAAGTGCATGTTTAATTTCGTGCATTCGCGCGGAGAAAGGCCTACATAGTAATATAGTGTGTAGGCATTTCAATGAGGCATCCTAGCCAGTCCATGTTGCTCGCCATGTTGTTTGCCCCTACCTGACTTGAAAGTGACATCCAGTTGATACAAGGAACGAATCAAGCGCAAAGAAAGCAGCTGTTTCAAAACTTCGAGAGACTTGTTTAAGTTATCGTACTGGGAATCCAGGAACAAATGACGGAGACCCCACGCCGATTTCAGCACTCTGATCAAGCTGGGCAGCACAACCGCGGAAAGGGTGTATAGATGGCGCGGTACGAAATTCAGCAAACCCTGCTGATCCTGAAAAACAGAAATTAGAGATTTGAAGAAACGAACGCTCCTGACTTCGTCGGTGACGGCATTGTGACCGTTTCACTCGCCCGAACTACTTGCGAACCACGGCCAGAATAGCGTCACCTGAATAATTGGATTGTGTCGCCTACGCAGTCTCATCCTTCAATCGACATTTTATCTTTATTCATTGACATTACTACGCTGACACACTGTCAGAAAATTCCCCCCAAAAAAGGGAAAAATCATTGAGTTTTTCCGAAACTTCTGCATGGAGCTCTGCTTAAAGGCAAACTCTGGACTTTCCCCGAAAAGTTCCGGAATTTTGAACAAAAATGCATGCTTCACTATCAAGAAATGACGAAAAAAAAGGTTTGCAACCAGTTAAAGAAGGAGGGAAAGGTGGACTCTATTTATTAAGCTCAGTTTTCATAATACTAGCCCGGGGAAGGCCTTCGGCCACGCTGCTGAGCTGGATTTTGCTGGAGATGGAAATGCATTTTCATCAGTAGTTGCTGAGCGAAGCCAAGCACCCTGTTTGAGATTTTGAATAGCTCAATTGCCCTTTGGTTTGGTTAGGTTAGGTTCCGTTAGGTTAGGGTAGGCTAGGTTCGTTTAGGTTAGGTCAGGTTACGTTGAATAAGTTAGGTTAGGTTGGGTTCGGTTAGGTTAGGCTAGGTTCATTGGCTGAGCGATAGCGAAGCCTGTTACTCCAGTGGGGTTGAAAAGTTTTGTCTGTCTGTCGGTCTGTCTGTCTGCACTCTAAAAAAAATCAGTACAGAATTTTGTAACATGGTTACGCAGCTTTTTCAATAACATGTGTTACAGAAATTTGTATCACGATGGATACAATTTTTTTCTTCGTAACTTGGTTACAGAATTTCGTAACGGTTACAAAATTTGTAAACAGTCGTTATTCTTCCAAATCAAGCTTCAAAATGAGAATTTTGTTCGAACGTAGTCTCCGTGGGTCTGATTGAAGGTCCTTATGCCATTCTTCGAGTAACAACTTTCCCAGATGTTCTCTGAGAAGTCGGGAATCGAACCCCAAACTCTGGGTTGGCGGCCCGCCACGCTACCAACTGCGCTGTGCGGACGCCGTGGAGGGAGCGGCGCAGGTAGCCGGTGACCTGAGACGCGCGCAGTAAGGGACGGAGGCCTTGCCAGCCAAGCATGCACGAGACTGAATCTCTTATTCAGAGTCGGGAAAAATAAAAGCACATGAAAACTCTAAGTTTAACTTGTCTCTATGGGCACTGCTGTTCAATTTTGCCGTTAAAACATTATGTTTTTATCTCTGATACAGAATTTAGTATCCAGTTACAATTTTCTGTATCAGTTATGTTACAAACATAATATTGTAACCTTCATGTAACAAATTTCTGTATCAAGGTCCAAAATGATTCATTTTTCTGTAACCGGCACATCTGTTACAAAATTCTATATCACTTATACCAATATTTGTAACCAATGCAGGTGATACAAAATCCTGCATCAAAAATGATTCAAAATTCTGTAACTTTTTTTAGAGTGTGTCTGTCGGTCTGTCTGTCTGTCGGTCTGTCTGTCTGTCCGCACTACTCCTCCTGAACGGCTCGGCCGATCTCGGTGAGATTTTGCACACTTCTTAGGTATGTCCTTGGCTCGGCACACGCGAAATTTCACCATCCTAGCTCAACTGGTTCAGTTTTTATAGGCGAAAAACACCTAAAAAACGGCGAAAAATAGAGATTTCTGCAGATAGACCACTTCTGTCTTGGAGAAAGGGGGGTCTGGGGGGCGGAGCCCCCCAGCCCCGACAAGTTAAAAAGTGACAAGGGTCAAGATCGTGTTATCTGTAGATAAAACAACTCTATTTACAATGTAGGGGGGTCTGGGGGGCGGAGCCCCCCAGCATTCAACAAGTTAAAAAATAACCGACAACGGACAAGCCATTGCCTGCCGCAGGCAGGCTAGCGCCGCAGGCCAAGGTAGGTACGCCAGGCGTGGATTGGAGGAACAGGCAGCGAGACATCGCGAAGCCTGTTACGACAAGACGCGGTCTGGCGTAAACCTACCTTGTTTAGGTTAGGTTAGGTTAGGATAGGTTAGGTTAGGTTTGATTAGGTTTCGTTGGGTTAGGCTAGGTTCGTTTAGGTTAGGTTGGGTTAGGTTTTGTTAGGTTAGGCTAGGTTCGTTTAGGTTACACACTACAAAAAATGTCCTGTCAACGCCGTTAATTTATTACCAATGTTTGCTGTCATGCAATTCACGGCGTTTGCTGTGAACTAGTTCACGGCGTTCACTGTGATCTCGGTCGCAGTGTTCACTGTGATCTGGCCACAGTAAACACCGTGAACTGGAGCCTGATTTGCAGTACTTCGGTGCTCAGCGGCGTCAAACTCTCAGTGTTTACTGGGGACCAGATCCAGTGAACACCGCGAACAAGATCACAGTGAATCCCGTGAGCAGATCACAGTAAACGCTGTGAACTGACCTACAGTGAAAACTGGTAATAAATAAACGGCATTGACAGGACATTTTTGGTAGAGTGTATAGGTTGGGTTAGGTTCGTTTAGGTTAGGGAGTATAGAGTGAGATCTGTCATGAGCCCGTTAGGTTAGGTTAGGATTGGTTGGACCATTTAGTTTGAGAATAAGATTTGTCGAGAGTAGGGAAAGATCTGTCACGAGTAGAGTAAGATCTGTCACGAGCCTGTTAGGTTACGATTGGTTGGACAATTTAGTTTTAGATTATTAAATAACCTTCCGTCGATTCAAGGAGAAACCAACAATTGTCGAATCACAATCCTTCGCGCAAATGCGTACTTCCTGGCTATCACCCCCCAAAAGAAAAGAGGCTCATTTTCAAAATAAACACATCCAAATTTACTACTGATGAAAATGCATTTCCATCTCCAGCAGAATCCAGCTCAGCATCGAGGCCGAAGGCCTTCCCCTGGCTAGTAAATTAGGAAGTGATTATTTTGAAAATTATTATTGACCTCGGAGTATTGATCTCGGAGTATTGATCTCGGACTATTGACCTCGGACTATGTATACATATATATAGGTATAAGATTTAGATCAATAATAAGATACCTATGCTAAACTAAAAGTATCCGGGGGGAAGGCGGACAATTCGAACGTTTAAATTCCCAACAGGGTGCTTCGCTTCGCTCAGCAATTAAGGGAAAGCTACAGGATATAAGTCAAATGAGCTCGAAGGACATTGTCCCTTCTTTGGTCATTTCACACTAAAGAATGCTTCAGTGAAGCCCTCCTTAGCATACCTATCTGAGAAAAGACATGTACTTTACCTCCCATCAGGACCCAAGTAATGCTCCGAAGAACATCTGTTGAAGCCCTGAGAAAATCTCTCCGAAAATAAATGGAAAATGACTGGAGTCTCCATGAACGTGATTATAGAGTTTTTCTCCATAAAGTTTCGGAGCTAATTTCGAACAGCGTAAATATGAGAAAAAAAATACGATTTCAAGAAATCCTAGGAGTCACGAAGTCAATATGGTTATTGTGTAGGAGTGTGGAGAGAGGAAGAAAGTTGTGTAAAAGGGGAAGGGGATGGTTTGGGTACGAATGGCAGCGGTACCAATGTGGTCGATGTGGCACCCGTCAAAATTTAAACTTGGCAACAAAAAGAAATCAAAATGCCGTAAAATTCGTAAAATTCCAATGCTAATGTATTCCACAGTGGAACATCTTTGAAGTCAATCATTATTAAAATGTTCGTGGGGGAAAGGAGGCAGCAAATTAATTTTCGCGGGTTGGCAACAATCTTCTCGGCGTCTGCGCCCTTGCGAAAATAGCGAAGCCGAAAACACGAGTAGTCGCGCATTAAAACTGCCCCTCCATTGTAGCTGACGTTGAATTGTTTGGCTTGTTTCAAAAGGCTACGGTTCTCTAGTCATGTTTTCTTCAATTCTGTGTAATAGTTCTCACTCACAACGTAACAACACCATGACGGTTGGTTTGACAAACTTTACAAACTCAGGAGGGATGGTTTCGAATCGTAGGTGAGTCTTGTTCGAGGAACATGAGCACTGAAAGTCGCGAGATGGAGCGATGTGGTCATCGTGCTAACTGAATGAAAAGAACCATCAAACAAAAACTAGAGCTAAGACAAATGTAAGAAATACAATTTTGTTTTATTGATTCAGTAAAAAGTTGATAAATGAAAAAATTGTTCTATTCTTTCAATATTTTTAAATCTTTTCTTCAACATGTGTCCTCAAAATATATTCAGATATAATGTCATAATTTATACAGATTAATTTTGTGGTAGAAAATACACATTGAAAATGAAACGAACACAAAACTCACAATGAGTGTAGGTTTCCATGTTGGTAAGACTGTGTTCTGTTCCGCGCATGAGCAAAGACATTCCCATTAAAAATTTTCATCAGGCAGTGCCAACGAAAAGACTGCGTCCAAAAAACCCTCTTGTGCTATTGTTACATCTGTTCTATCACGGTCGCTGAAAGTTTTTATTCGAACGTCCTTTTTCAAAGAAGCGACCGTTTTTGGGGTAACCTGTACACAAGCGAAAAGGAGCCATGCTATTGGTTGGGTTTGGCTCGGCTCCCCCCTCTCTCTTCCCTTTTCGTTGACGAGTCGAGCTTTGCTATGGAAACAGTGATTTTGACGGCAATTTTCTCAAAATTTATCGCTAAGATTTCAACCATATTCCAGAATTGAAATCACGTCTCAGAATTCTACCAGTCTGCAAAATCTCATCAAAATCGTACAGAGAGGTTTCGACTTGCATAAGGGGCCACGCGATCAAATCCCAGCGAGGCTGAATCCTGGGGGATACTATAAGGCTACTTCGTGCCTAAAAAGTCAGCAACATGCTGAGAAGGGAGGCTACAGAAAATGTTCGGTTGAAAGCACAGAGAATTATGGCAACAAATTGACTAATTTTTCTGTAGTGTTTTGCCACTCAATATAACAAATCTCCCCCCACTTCTATCTCAACTACACCCAATCAGTTACCTGCGGTGAGATATCAACCCTCGTCAGCTGGTGGCGATGAACCGAGAGAAGGGACCGTATCGGGCGGCACAGCCGTCCCCCAAAGCGTGCGTCGTTGAAGACACTAAAGCTGAACTCGTGCAGGGATCCCCTCTTAGGCCAGTCAAATGTAACTCCGTGCAAAATACTGTTCCTGTAAACATTGAAAAAGGGTTACTATTGTTTAGACATGGCATATTAGTGACAACGGATGTCCTGAATCAAACCACCTTTAAGGAAGGATAAGACATTGCTTTTATCTATAAGACCGTGAAAGACATTAACGCGAGGGGGTAAAAGTGAAAGTTGAGATGACTTGGATGACTCTGTTTTCCATTTTAACGGAAAGCCATAAGTAACAGAAATGCTATACGCAGTAAGCTGACACTCCTGATGTTCATCTCAAAATTAAACTTAAGTCTTGAACCTGTTATCATCTATAACAATCCTTTGTTTAGTTTTAGTTTTCCCTGCGAACAGTTTTTAGTTTCTCCTCAAAAATTGTCAAAATGGAGCCATTCCCTTCTTCCGCTTCACTCTTAAAAGCCTACGAAGGATTTGCTTCGTAACTACGAAGAAAATGAAGGCATTGTAGAATTGCTTCGTATTACGAAGAAATGTTTCGTATTACGAAGGATTTTGCTTAATAATACGAAGCATTTCTTCGTAGATTTTACAATGCCTTTATTTTCTTCGTATTACGAAGCGATTCTTCGTAGAGTTTTTACTGTGTTCCTGGATCACTTGAGGATAAAGATATGAGTACCGTGCTAACCACGTTAACAAGACACCTCATGAATTTTTCATGTCGAACATCCAAATCTGAGCAGCGTAGATCGATCCGTGCACACCTAAGGCTTTAGTATGTACCGAGTACACACATACAGCACTAACGTGAGTACTGACCATACCGCTGACTACACACACAAAGCACTTAAGTGTGTTGCACATACTCCCTTGAGTGTTCAGTGCGCTCCCTCGCCTCCGCCCAAAAGTTCTGATAACCTACCGACACATGGTGATGTGCAGTGCGGTGAGTGATGTCTTGCTGGCGATTGCCTCCCAGACAACAAGAGCCTCAGCGACGGTCAGCAGGTCAGCGTTTTCAATTACTCGCAAAACCTTCACGTTGTCTTTGACTAGATTTCGTAGGCAGAGCAGATGCATCAGGGACGACGAGGTGCCAATCTTCAAAGTTTCGGCGTTATCCTGGAAACACGGATTTGACATTTTATGGATACGCTTCTGTCCCGTCGTGAGAGAAAGAAACTTAATCCTGGCTCAGAGCGGTTAAGGTCTGAACTGAAAACACTCCACACATGAGATGGAGAAAATAACTGAGATAAAAGGGATTTACGGTTTTCAACTCGCCTCGATCGCCAGAAATAGTGACTAGAAGTACACTCAAGACTCCTTACGGACACCATGTATCCGCAATAGCCTACTTATGTCAGATGTCTCAATTTATAGGTAAAAGTTCCTTTCTATTACATTACATAAAGTCATGCCCTAAGTCTAGGGCCGCAACTCCAATAGGTTTTTGAGCTATGGAAGTTTATGTAAACTTTTAGTCGTTTCTCCCAAATTCTCCTCACGTCAAAGGATTAGCTACCCAGTCATCAAATTCTGGCAATTTGATCTATTTTTGCATAGGAAAAAGATAGCGTTGCCTGTTTTTTAATATGTGCCTTAGCTTTCCTGAAAAAACCAAAAACATCAAAATGTGGCAAAATCTCTCAAATTTGAAGAAAAATAAAAAAGGCCTGGTAAAATAGCTTTTACAGCCTCTTCTCGATCTCGACTGATATCTTCAAATCTGCCAATGCTATCTTTTTCCGATGCAAAAAGAGATACAATTGCCAGAATCTCAAGACTGGGTAGCTAATCCTGTGTCGTGGAGAGAGGAGAAATTGGGAGAAACAACTGAAAGTGAACGTAAACGTCCATAAATAACTGAGAAACTAAAAGTAGTTGGGGCCCCTAACTTTGAGACTAAGTTCATCTTATAATAGTGCTTGAATTTTGACCACAAAATGATCTTTCTGTGACAAATATTTCTAGGACATGCTAGTTTCACTTTGCAGTATCCTCTGAGAAAAGATTACAGACAGAAGAACAGTAAAACTCTGATCTGTCGTTTCAGTACACACACTTGATTGCTTTCATTGAGCACAAACTTTGCACGAAATTGTGCATGCGTAGCACGATTTTCATGCACAACAACGCACATTATCGTGCACTGTGGCAAAAAGGTACGGAAAATCCTGTTAATTTTTTTGCCAGGATTCTCCGTAGCCCTCTTATCAATGTTCTCCGTAGGCTCTTACAGTATTCTCCGTAGGGCCGTACAGTAATCTCCGTAGGACCGCACAGTCTTCTCCATAGGGCCTGGAAGACTGTACAGTCCTACGGAGATCACTGTAAGGTCCTACGGAGAAGACTGTGCGGTCCTACGGAAAATACTGTAAGAGCCTACGGAGAATACTGACAAGGGGGCTACGGAGAATCAGCACAAGTTGTTTACAGAATTTTCCGTATCTTTTTGCCACAGTGTGCGTAGTTGCGCACAAAATCGTGCATTTTGGTACGTATGAACAGTTTTGAGCAAAGCTTATGCACAAAACACTTCATAGTAAATTCACACAGTAAAAACACCAAGAAATCGCTTCGCAATACGAAGAAAATGAAGGCATATTGTAAAATGCACGAAGAAATGCTTCGTATTATGAAGCAAAATCCTTCTTAGTACGAAACGTTTCTTCATAATACGAAGCAATTTACAATGCCTTCACTTTCTTTGTTGTTTTGAAGCAAATGCTTCGTAGGCTTTTATGAGTGTAGTGTACACTGAGAATAATGCGTTGTATACTACGTCTGCGGTGTACCGAGTTTAGGTTTTCGTGATCTTACCTCGAACGATATGCTCACTGGCGGCCAAGTATAGCCTATGGAAAGGGTGACTTTGGTGTAGGGGACCACACCGTGAGTGCGTCGCAGCAGGCGCACCACGCCCAGGAACTCCTTCTGAGCAGAGTCGTGATGTTCAAATGTTCGTGAAGACCATAGCCGCCTTGAAGAGCAGAGGTCCCGCCAGCGAGAGCACACCTGAGGATCAAGTTGGTTAGGCCACAAAGAAATCACACTTGGTTGCACTGAAAACCTACATGTGAACACACTAAATTCCCGTGAATTCCTTTCCACAATTTTGAGCATCGCTTTTCGTGCGAATATGTTCGCATGTTAAATATTGTGAGAGACGCCGCGCGCAGAACTGTTCAAATACATTTATACATTTAAATAATGCTACAACTACTAAATGGCGAAAAGTAACAAGCTGGTCTAGTAAATAAAATTAAAATGTTGGGTATTTGTGTGGATTACTCACCTGCGATGCTTGTACCAGGTCGGATGTATCCAAGAACGAAAACACCAGTTCCAGGGAAAGGTCACTCAGGGCGTCAATCGAAGTCTGCAAATTCCATTCCTCATCTCAACAGGAAGCTACACAAGCATACGTTTCAAAATGCACGAATTGTGACACTGTGTGCGCCCCAAAGTGCGTCCTCACTAAATTACTGCGTACAATGCTTCCTGTGCATAGCTTCTGCACAAAATTGAGCATGCACGTGAAACGCACGGTATCGTGCGCTGCGCAACAAGGCGACTTTAGAGCCTTTTTACGCCCAAATGCGTGCACTTAACACATGACTAATTTAGTGCAAAGCTTCTGCAAAAAAAAAAAAAACTACATAAGGCCGGGAAGAATCGAGCACTGTAGGAGCGGCGAAAAATCGCACACCTCAATTTCGGTCTGAACATTCACATTCCGATACTCGGAAATACTTTTTACTGGTTATGGAAACCCCTCACTAACGTGCAAACAGTATTCAATTCGTTAGTCTCATCACTGTAAATCCAACGGCAATACTTTAAGTACCTTTTTTTGCGATACAATTGAGTATCGCCAATAACGGCCTTACGGAAAAGTATTGCCTTTAAACGGCGATCAAACCAAAAATTGCCAATTTGGCGATACTTAGTATCAAAATTGCAACAGTATTGCCAAAATTTGGCGATACTTTGGAGTATTGCCAAAATTTGGCGATACTTTGGAGTATTGCCAAAATTTGGCGATACTTTGGAGTATTGCCACGATTTGGCAATTAACGTCGAACAAATCAAGGGGACAAGACCTTTCTTTAATGCCGTGGTTTTGGCAATAAGGGAGTATGGGGCGATTTGTAACAGGGGCGATTTGTAACAGGGGCGATTCGTAACAAATGCGTTTATTAATTTAAGTGGAGGGAGCAGAGGAAAATCTGAGTATGGCCCCTCTTTCGCTTCAAGTACAGGGTCCTTGGACAATCGAAGCGGATGTGATCGGTGCTCAGGTATAGTTTTGGAGGGGGTCTGCAATATAGGGTACACCGAAATTTCGGCAAAACAAAATACAAAAATTTTTCGAGTTCTAGGAAGTTTCTGTCTGAGGCTCCCCAGGTATGAATCACCATCGAAGTACCGTTGGGGCCTTGAAGCGTGACCCCTTTTTCAATGTAAACACGTGGCATAAGTTGCTTCTACTTTTTCCAGTGATAGTTAGGGACGGATTTCTTGCGTAACAGGCATTTGGGGTGATTCGTAACAGACCCGTATAAAAACAAGAATTTAAGGGGGCAATACACTAAAAATGGCCAAAAACTGACTTGTGCGATTGCTTCCATACGCGTTGTTGAGCGTTGTTTAATCTTTTCATGTGTCAAGACCTTAAAAAATGAAGCATTTTAAGCCCAGAATGGCGTCGATCGGACGTCAGGGAGCGGAGCGGCGCCCAATCAAATTTTCGTCAAAAGTCGAACTGGCGGGCATCCCTCAGTCCGCAAGAATGAAGATATCTTGACCCCGTTTGCACCAAAATGTAGGTAATTAAAGCGGCTACACTGGTAGCCGACGAATGTGACATCACATTCGTTTGAACGTGAAAACTACGATGTCAGATTGAACATGACAAACAGAGAAAATTCATACTCAAACGAATGTGACACGCCGCACCGCTTTGTCACATTACTTCGGGTGTGACACGAAATCAGCAGGCAAACTGTCACATTAAAACGAATGTGACACATGGTACCCATTGACATACATCGTGTCACATCCCAACGAATGTGAAACCCATATGCTGTCACGTTCGTTTGAATGTGACATGCCCGAATTGTCACATTCAAACGAACGTGACACGCCCCGGACACGCCATAAGTGTCAGGTTATGGCGTGTCACGTTCAATTGAATGTGACAATTCAAAATTGCAAAATCCTCAAAAAGTGTTTTTGGATGAAACACTCTACCAAAAATGTCCTGTAAATGCCGTTAATTTATTACCAGTTTTCACTGTAGGTCAATTCACAGCGTTTACTGTGATCTGCTCACGGGATTCACTGTGATCTTGTTCGCGGTGTTCACCGTGATCTGGTCCCCAGTAAACACTGTAAGTTTGACGCCGCTGAGCACCGAAGGACTGCAAATCTGGCTCCAATTCACGGCGTTTACTGTGGCCAGATCACAGTGAACACTGTAACCGAGATCACAGTGAACGCCGTGAACTAGTTCACAGCAAACGCCGTGAATTGCATAACAGCAAACATTGGTAATAAATTAACGGCGTTGACAGGACATTTTTTGTAGAGTGAATTTTGTACTTTCGGTTGCTCGATGTTCATAATCCTAGTTTGCGCTATAGCCGCTTTAATTGCCTACATTTTGGTGCAAACGGGGTCAAGATATCTTCATTTTTGCGGACTGAGGGATGCCCGCCAGTTCGACTTTTGACGAAAATTTGATTGGGCGCTGCTCCGCTCCCTGACGTCCAATCGATGCCATTCTGGGCTTAAAATGCTTCTTTTTGTAAGGTCTTGACACATGAAAAGTTTGAACAACGCTCAACAACGCGTATGGAAGCAATCGCACAAGTCAGTTTTTGGCCATATTCAGTGTATTGCCCCCTTAAGTAGTTTTTCCTGTTAAATGCTTGAATTATTTCTCGAATCATCTGCTGTTTTATTCCAATACATTTACACAGCTCGAAATGCATTTTAAAGCGAGTTATTCTATGCTTTCCTCAAAAATTGAAAAAAGTGAGGTTAGGATTGACATAGCCGATCAGTTAATGCTGAGGCGGTCAACGGCAGCTTGTAATGTAGATTTTTAGACGTCTGCAGGACACCCGAAGAACAACTGGTGGAGGAGATAACATTCCCAACGATGTTTCATTTAATGTGTAGGATGTTATGAAAAGCCCCATGGCTGTTACAAATCACCCCATGCTGGGGCGATTCGTAACAGCATGCAAGGGTTTGGAAAACGTCTTAGATTTCAAACATTACGGACTCCAGATTGATCCAATGGAGCTGCACAGTCTAGATGAAGGGCCAGACTGCTCAACTGGCACAAGTCTGACACCGATATGCAGAATGTTCTTAATTTTGTACAGAGAATTCCGAAATCTGTTCCAAATCGCCCCATACTCCCTTACCCAAAAGCATCGCCAAATTTTAGCGATACTTCTGTGTATCGCCGTTCTGAAGGCAATACTTTTCCGTAAGGCCGTTTTTTGGCGATACTCATTTGTATCGCCAAAAAATGTACTTTAGTATCGCCTTTGCAATTGCAGTGATAATAAGGAAATCCACCCTTAAAATAGAGTGACCTATTTCTCCCCGTCCCTGAGGTGTTCGGTTCTTCCCCGCCCCTTACCCTAGAAATTAAGAACACTAAATTACTATGTACATTCTCATGCATAAGCTTCGCACAAACTTAGGCACACATTTCTGGACAACGTAGCGCATGTTCAATTTCATACGTTTCGTATACATAAAAACCTTCACTTTCAGCACGTCACTGACTTTTTTCTCATTAATTACGTTCATATAAGCAACAGCAATAGTTACTTAGCATTTTCTAAGTATGACCAAATTTCTTTGTAAAATTATGAACAAAACCAAATTGAAAGTACATTATTTAATATTTCCTGAGTAGTTCTTTGAAAAAGGAAAAGTACGTGTTATGGTTGCAAAAATTACTTGCATAAGTACTGACAAATAGAGCAAAAAGTCAGTAACGTGCTGAGAATGTACAGAGTAATTTAGTGTGTCCTCAGTGTTACGCCAAGATATGCACTTCAGGGCGTTTCCTGAGCTTGCATTGAACTTAAAAACAAGAAAGTAACATACTTCCGTCCTCTTGCCTGAGGAGCGTGTTGAGACGGCTGCACGAACCCCCACGGAATCGTCGAAAGTTGAGCACTTGTTCCCTTCTAACTTCAGTTTCAACGTCAATACCCATAGCCAGCAGGTGTGGACTTACCGCTGAGACTTCGACGAGTTGTTCTCCGAGAGCCACCCTCCGCAACTTGGCTTGTCGCCGAGTCAGCATGATGATGGGAAATCACCGACACGGAAAGCAGCAACTGGGGTGCTTGAGTCTGCCCCGAGATGACGTCTCTACCGCACGCCCCAGCACACCTGCAGCAATGAGATGTCTTTACGTAACGTCGAGAAGTAGGGTACTCCGCCTCACATCCAGTTTGGCGTAGTGGATAGACCATTTCGCTGGATCCACTTCGATCCCGCGAAAAAACAAATGCGCCGGAAGTCGGGTAGCGTCAACCAATCAGGAGCCTCCTTTCAAGGTAGCGCCTAGCCTTGATGAAAGGAGGCTTCTGATTGGCCGACGCGACTCGACTTCCGGTGCATTTGTTTGCTCGAGGGATCGAAGTGGATCCAGCGAAATAGTCTATTGTGGACAGACGACGGTTGGTGCTGTTATAAGGCGCTGAATGCATGCAACGTTGCCATTTAGTTTTGTTTATTTGTTTCTGAATTGAATAAATGAATCTTCACATCCTAATTTACTAAACCGTGATAAATATGGCATAAGAACGAGTAACTGATTGAATTTAGCGAGTATAAGAAGATTTAGAGTTGAGTACGGAGCACGAGACTAGCAGACGACGTACCGAGTGGCGACGTTGCATGCAGTCAGCGCCTTGTGACCTAGCACCAACCGTCCACTGTCCCTTAAGGGAGTATGGGGCGATTTGTAACAGGGGCGATTCGTAACAAATGCGTTTATGAATTTAAGTGGAGGGAGCAGAGGAAAATCTGAGTAAGGCCCCTCTTTCGCTTCAAGTACAGGGTCCTTGAACAATCGAAGCGGATGTGATCGGTGCTCAGGCATAGTTTTGGAGGGCGTCTGAAATATAGGATACACCGAAATTTCGGCAAACAGGCAAATCTTTTATTTACCTATTTACCCTGTTTACCTATGTAAATTACACACTGTGTTGGTGTTAGGTCACTGTGTTAGGTCACATCGTGCAACTCGCACGATTTTGTGCATACGTGGAATATGCATAAAAGCGTGCGTGAAAATGTATGGATTCATGCTAATTCACGCACAATCATATGCACGCTGGTACGCAGGTTTAATAAAATTATGCATCACCACGTACAAAATTGTATATCTTCACCAAAGCGAACCTACTGAGGAGGAGGAAACGGTCGGGAAACCCCCTCGCCTGTATCGGCGACCTCCTCGGTTGGTGTTACTCTGCGGCAACAAAAAGTGACCTCACCGTAGCTTTGGAAAACTACGAACTGATTCAATCCCAACTAGGTGGTATATTTGCGGCCTTTGATGAAGAAATTAATGTTACTAATGTCACTAACCACAATACTCTAGAATGGATCAATTTAGTTGGTAATGTCCGTGATAAATTTCTAATCATTAATAATGCTTTGTCCAAAATTCTGAATTCAAACAAATGGATGACTGATTGGTTCACGCACGTTACGCTCCGGTCGATATCAAGCACCACTGAGATGGTAATTAAGCTCCTGATGACGGAACGCCTGGGTCAAATCTATAGTTCTTGCACTCAAAACCACTAAATATTATTCCGCCGGAAATGTTAAAGCAGAATTAGAAACCCTCAATACTAAATGAGGCCCAAAGGCGGAAATTGCTGTAACCAGCTCCGCTCTCTACAAACTAAAAATTGTGAACTGCGTGTTGAAGGAAGGATAAATCCCTAGAAGAAGTTGTTAAATTTCCGGTACGGCGTAAGGGTGAGAATTGTAAAATAGTAGACATCGTTCCGACACCGTTTGCTTACAAGAATTTCACATGCAAAATTTTGACAAAACCAACAATGATTGTGGCGAACTCCTCGAATGTCCGCATCCTTTCTCATCAACAACGGTCAGACTGTATCAACAGTCTGATTTGCCCCTTACCTGGAGAAACGTCGTACAACGCGGATCTCGGCAGCTGCATTAATAATCTCTATCAAAATAAAAATAGAAATTTGGAGTCCATACGTAAGACTTGTCAATTACAGTGCACACCATACTTCGGACCGGAATTTCTCAGTTTAGGTTTGAATGATTATGTAACTGTTACATCCTAAACATGATCTGGTAGTTGACCAGGTAATGCAATCTTTTTGACAGCTGTGCCTGTAGGTGCCAGTAAAGTTAACACACCCTGTGAATGCGTGCTGCGACACGACCAAAATATACTGATTGATACCCAATTTCCCTGTGACCCTCGTTTAAGAAATGTGTTCAATAGAACCGTCATATTACCGTCATTATGGTCCAAGACAAACAAACCGTGGAGTGCCGAGCCAGAAAAATATGTGCACCCAGCTCGAAAAGTTTCGAATGTCATATCGAAGAATTTGTCTTTCACTTTACCAGGTTTTGTGGTGATGAACGGCCCGCAGAAGCCAACGGACAGAATCTAAACGTCTTTATCTTCTGACAGAATTGTAGTGTATGTATTTTGCGGAATTTTATTTGGAATTCAAACTGGGCTTCTTATTTGGATGGCATTCATCCAGAGGTCAATGAGTTGTACATGCTATAAGAAAGCCCCTAAACCGGCGCTAACGCGCACAACTCGTAGGAAAGGGCGAAATGTAGAAGCCCAGGACGAGGATCTAGATACAATTAAATTAGACAATTTCAGGACAAGGAACGCCCATAGAATTGAGTGATTAGTGAATATTGTAATATAGAGTAGGGTACTGGCTGGCGCCGTGTGCCTGGGAGCCTCACTCCTGTGTGACTCATGCTTCTTCGAGACACGGCGAGACGAGTCCAGAATCATCGAGGAGAGGAGTTTCGTCGAGAACTTCAAATTCAGGATCGCCAAATTCAACATTTCTCTCAAATTGCCGAGTCATACAATGTGGAGGCACAGTCGTTGGCGTGGCCACGACTGCCCAAGCCAAGTCCTTCGGGAGGCGGCCGGACAGAACTGGGAAGGCGTTTGGCGCACCCTATCTTAGCCGAGGGATGTGAGGAAATTTTTGTTCTTTTTAAATTTCACAACAAAATTTTCGTCGTAAAAGCGTTGGTCTTAAGTCCAGGCGCATGACTTACAGCTTCAGGAGTCGCGCGAGCTGCGGACAGGTGCAACGCATCTGTGTCATCTGTGTCATCTACGCAGATGACACAACGATCTATGAGTCCTCAAGAAACGCCAAAGTCATGAAAACCAAACTGCAAACACAGCTCACCAACACCTCTGAGTACATGAAGAAAAGCCGAATCCTCATAAATGCAGGAAAGACACAGGCGCTCCAAGTCACACGGAGGAAGAAGTGGACCTCCCCTGAGGGCAACCTCAAAATCGACGGCACCGAAGTCAACTGGGTGACAGAAGCCAAGCAGAGAGAGAAGAAAGCAGGAATTGGGACATGGGCGATTGGTGCACCAATGGTGAATGGTGCGGCGCGGAGTGGTGGCTCGAGTGGTGCAGGTATTGGGACTGGTGGTGTCGGTTGGGTGGCCTACCCTCCCGGCGCTATGGGGGGGGGGGGCTGGGTGGAGTGGTGGCGCTAGAGGTGTCTCCAGGGGCGCGCGGTGTCGCATGGGTTGCCTACGTTCCCGGTGCAGGGAAGGAAAATGGGGGAGCAGAGGGGTGGGTTGGCGGATGAGGTTGGGTGCCTACTTTCAGGGGGGGGGGGGGGGGGGGGGGCGCCTTCCGTTTCTTCTTGTGTCTCTGTCTCATCGTCAAGGGCCTATCTGAAGGAATGAGATGTCATGTGAGGGAAGATGGAAGCCTACCTTCACGGGGTAGGTGACTGCACTCTGATTTTACTGGATTGAGGTCGATGCTCGTTGTCGATGGAAAAAACTGATGTGTGCAACCCGATGTGGAAAGGGGCACGTGCTGAGCGCAGAAAAGAAAAATGCTGACAAAACAGAAGGCTGTCGGCCGCGGTTCAAGTTTGTACCGAGCCAGCAGTCAGTGGTTTTCGGCGACTGAGACAAGGTGTGCGTGTGGTGCGACAAGACGTGTGAGTGGACAGTGAAGAGAAGTGGTGGTTAGAAGATTTTGGAAGTGGGCTTGATCGAGAAAAAGAGGTAAGAGACAAGAATGAGAGTGTGCTCAGAGTCTATAGTGTCATAAAAATGAGGAGAAATAATGGGTTTTTGTAGTGTGTGTGTGTGTGTGTGTGTGTGTGTAGGAAACTATGGGAGTCCAATGTGTGTGGTGCGGCGAAACTGTGGGTGGGGAACAACAGTTGCTCACTCACATTTTGCAAAGGCACGCTCCAGGAGCAAGTGACACTCCTTCAACTGTGCCGACACCTGGAGCGGGTCCTAGCGGAACATCGCCGAGTGCTGCCAGGAGTGCTCCACTAAGAAGGAAGGCAGGGCTCAAGGAGCTGGTGACGAAGAAAAATCCTACTATGCTAAAAAACAGTAAGAATAGTGTGAAGTGTGAAGAGTGTAAAAAGGAATACAAGCATAAGCGGTCTTTACTACGGCATCGCAACGAGAGTCATAGTGTACAAAAGTACGAGTGTTCAAACTGTAAAAAAGTGTTCAAAAACAAAAGAACTTTTAAACAGCACAGGATGAAGCAACACTGTAACAAAAAAAGGAGATGTTGCTAAAAAAATTAATCGTTGTCGAAAATGTAAGAAAGTGTATAAGAGTGTGAAAGATTTGTATGTTCACAAGCAATTGGAACATCCAAATCGCTGTGAAAGATATGTGTGTCGTGGATGTTTCCGCCGATTCCGCATTCCAGGAACGTGGCAGTGGCACATTCGTTACTGTAAGGATATTAGATCTAAATTGGCTCGGTTTCATGAGTTGAGGAAAAAGCGTTTGTACTTGTCACGCAGGAAGCGTGTTGAGGAACATGTCAGTGAAATTGTGTCAACAGATTCTAATTGGGAAACAGAAATGGCAATAAATGGAGATGCACGTGTGCACACTCTTAATGTGAGTGATAGTTTTGATGTTCAATTGACGCTCTTAAAGCAAAAAGAAAAAATGTTGGAGCTTTTGCAAAAAGATATGTGTGATTTGAGGCGCATGAAATGGTATCTGGTGGCACAAATTTATTGTCATGTTCCCGGTGATGATACTGAAAAGTCAGATCCAGTAGTAAAATATCTGAGAAGCAACACAGAAACATCTCTTGCTGAGTATGATTTGGAAGGCAAACTTGAAATGGCAATTTTATCATGTGTGAATTCCTATGATAAAGCGCAAGTTGAGGGGTCAAAGCTTTTGTTTGAGAGAGTGGATAAAATAGAGTTACGAGTTGCAAAATATTCACCTTTGAAAGGATCTTCGTTTCTTCCTCTCCCAAAATGGTTGAGACTTCCATGTAAAGGACTAATTAATATTCAAAATTATGCTGATAATCGCTGCTTCTTGTGGAGTTGTCTTGCAGGAGTAAGCCTTCCCAAAATTCATCCAGAACGTGTATCCCACTACAAGTCCAGACAGAAAGAGTTAAATATGAAAAATATCAAATATCCAGTTAAGGTTAAAGATGTGGACAAATTTGAAAAACAAAATAAAGGAATAAGTGTCAGTGTGTTTGGGTTAGAGGAAGATGATACGATTGTACCACTTCGAGTCACTCCTAAATTGAAAACACGTCACATTAACCTCTTACTCCTGCAAGATGGCGATGATTATCACTATGTGTTAATTAAAAATATAAGTAGATTTCTCAGTCACCTTACTACTCGCAAAAAGAGGTTGTTTTGGTGTGAAAATTGCTTACCTGTTACCTGTTTGTGTTTCTTACAGAATGGCTGGCGTACCACAAGAAGTGTTACCTGTTGCTCAGGAAGCGATAAATGAATTTAACCTCCTCCACCCGCGCCAAGAAGAATACATAACGTGTCAAAAACTGCAAGAGGGTAGTAAATACCCTACTGTTAAGTGGTCTCACATAGAGACCAAATACGGAACTCGTGTCCTGGTGCAATTGAAAGACGTCACGTCTGACGAAATTCTCTCTCTCATTCTCCCAGAGAGATACGCTATTTTATCTTTAGCAACTTTGTCAAACTACACAACTTTAGCCGAGGCGGGGTTTGCGCCTATACTTCACTATAAAGGTAAAGTGGGGCGAGCGTACTCATTGGAAATCCATTTTCCCCAGACGGAATGACAGGTTTTTTTTTGTGAGCTTTTTCATGAATAAAAGGGTGTAATGCTAATTGCCCCCCCCCCTAAACGGAAATCCTGGATCTGCGCCTGAGAGCAGCGTGTTCGAGCTTCAGTGTGAGCGCTGTCGTCGAAGTGAAAACAAGAGTGAAGTGAACGAGTGTTAGAACAAAATGGACGTTAAATCTACTCCCATTGAGCGCGAGGACGTAAAGGAATGTGTTGAACGAGAGGGTAAGTTCAAACTTCGTCAGTGATTTAAAAAATATGCAATGGGACGAAAAGGATCATGAATGAAAATGTGTGTATGTGTGTGTCAGGTGGAGAGGGTGCAGGAGAAGTCAAGGAGTCAAGGAGGAAGCAAACTCATCCCCGGCCGAGTGCTGCATGGATAGAGGAAAACAATTACGAAAAACAAAGGAGAGGGGTGGAAAAAAGTGACAGTGAAGACAGTGATTCCAAGTTTCCTATTACGGGTGCCACTGTGAGCGGTAGGTAAAATCATGCATTGAAACAAAAAGTATGGCAGTGAGCAATGTAAAATTAGAAAAAATGAGAATGTGTGTGTGTGTGTGTGTGTGTGTGTGTTTTGCAGGTGTGCCAGCCATGGAGTTTACGGAATATTTTGGTGACCTTTTCACCGCAAACATGTCAAAGTGTCATGCAGTGAGCGCCGACCATCGGCAAAATGCAGGAATTGCTCGTGAGTTCCGACGACGATATGGACGCATTGATGAATTGATAGCGCAAAAAAACCATGTGGGTGAGGTGGCTTATTTTAAGGTGAAAGAAGGAGAGTTTGTATTTACCATAATTACAAAATTGATGTTTTGGCATAAGCCGACATATGAAAGCATGCAGCAAAGTTTGAAAGAACTTGCACGAACATGTAAAGAGTTAGGAGTTTGGGAATTGGCGATGCCCCGTGTAGGGTGTGGTTTGGATCGATTGATGTGGGAGAAGGTGAAAAATATTATTAAGGAAGTATGGAAGGGAACTCCCATGAGAATTTATGTGTATTATTTGTAAAAAACACATTTTGGAATGTAAAGAGCAATGAAAATAAATAAATAAATAATTTTATGAAAAATGAGAAAAACAAACATGCCGTTTGTCGTCTTTTTCCCCAAACAATGAAAACCTTTGCCATGAACCGATCCGCACTAGCTGGAGACAGGCTGAGAGAGAGAGAGAGAGAGAGAGAGAGAGAGAGAGAGAGAGAGAGGTGAGAGTTAACGCACACGTAGACGAAGTGAAAGTGGGAACATGTGACAGTCGACGGAGTGCTTGCAGTCAGTGTGTTGCTACGTGTTGGAGAGTGAAGTTGACTCAAGTGTGTACTGGTTGGTGTGAGTGTGTCCTAACCTCAAAATGCCCAACATAACCTCTCAGAGTATGGAGCAGCAGCAGGTGGTGGATTAGGGGAGTATGTCTCCTGATGAAATAGCAAAGTTGTTGTGGGGTGTTGAAGCTTCTAAAATAGTGCTAAATGCACCTCCTCATGGTAAGTAAAGAATATAAAAAAAAGTGAGGTTATATTGTTCGTAAGACAAAAAATGTAATATCTTAAAAATCTTGAAATTTCAGAGGAGGAAGTTACTATATTGAGCAGCGGACCAACTCGGTGTGGGATGGAACAAAGTAGAGGTAAGTGTCCAAAATCAAAAATTAAATCCATCCATCAATGATAATAAAAGTTAATAAGGTTATGTTTTCTGTGCAGACCGTGGCAACCGAAAAGCGAAACGAGGAGGAAAAAGGGACTCTCCCAATAGGAGTCAGAATCATCGTTGCAAGAAGTTAATCAAAGAGTCTCCTCAAGTAAAATGTGAACATATTGAAAACTTCATTGAAAAACTAATTGAGTTGAAAATAAAAATGTGTCCTGTGTGTCAAAAAAAATGAAGCATAAAATTGGCGTGGTTATAATAATCTGAGAGAGCAGGAGGAAAACAAAAGCAAAACAACTACTTTTGGCAGAAGTGTATCACAGGTTGCCTACATACAGGGGCATGATCGCCGATATTGAGACGTTCCGCCGCATTGACCGTTAAAAGAGTATAGTGGGCCATTCTCGCAGCAAAGTACGCGTTTGAAAACTCTTAATCGAAGTGTGAGTGGATAGCAGGTTTTGAACTATACAAGTCGCGTGTTTTGCGGCGAGCAAAGCGAGCCGCAAGCTACCGACCTTGTTTAAATTTGGGCTGAATTTTTGTTCTTTTTTAAGGTTTTTATGTGAAAACAACAAAGCAGAGCGAGCCACGGGAAGCTGATGTGATTGTCATCCTCCCGTCGCGCTTCTCCGCGATGGGCGACGAGGTTCTAAGCGGGATAAATGCAATGGCCGATGCAGGTCACCCTTACAATTTAAGTTTCAATGGTCGTGATGGAAACGCCTTCAAAGTGTCTCTTTCTTGAATTTACAATAAACCATCATCATTACCATGTTTTTTTGCAATCGTTTCTTGACTTATCATCTCCCGGTTTCCACTTGTTCAATGACACACAACGTTTCAGATTTTAATTCTCCTTATTTTACTGATGAACTTTTGATAGAGTTTTTGAGCCTCGATCACATTTATCAAGTTTTCCAACACAATTTTCAAGTGCAGGGGCGTAGGAACGGGGGGGGGCAGGGGGGGCAATGCCCCTCCCTGGGCGCCTCGGAGGGGCGCCGAAGGCGCCCCGCAGGGGCGCCAAAACTGCGCTCCAGCGGGGGCGTCAACGGCGCCCCGCAGGGGCGCCACAAGAGTGCCTCATGAGAAGGCGCCTGAAGAGTCAGCGCCCGTCAAAGCGGGTGTCGTGGGAGGGCGCCTAACAGTTAAAAAATCGTTAATTGTGCAATACTTTTAGCAGCGTGTAACATTTAACCCGAAGACAAATTAGATAATCAAAGGCAATTGCTCGATTTGTCAGGTCGCCAGCTTTCCAAAAACATACAAAATGTTATTTTTATCATCTTGAAGGATGCGACCGCAAGAGGGAATTACATTCACCTGTTGGAATGGATGCACGAAAATCTGAACATGTTTCGAGTTTAGAGCTCCGTAGGGGCTCACCCACGTGTCAAATTGTCAATTCAATTAGTGTTCTGGGTAGCCTAGACCTTTCTTTCCAACATCCAAAAGTTTGAAGGACCCACCACTCAGTTATAAAAATACCACTTGTGACCACTTTTAGCGCGTTTCGTCCCACTGTGCGGCGACGCGTCGCAGATTAAAGGGTTAATCTGTGACAAACTGCTTTAACAAGTTTCAATTAAAAGTTAAAAAAACGGCACTGGAAAATCACATTTTGAGGATTGTCCCCCCCCCTCCCGGGAGGATGGGGGCGCAATTCGGCCAAAGGGGGGCGCCAGAAAGAGTGCCCCCCCTTGGCCGTAAAACGTTCCTACGCCCCTGTTCAAGTGAGGGCAGTCCCCCAATTTACAACCATCCGCTATTGGTGCAGCTATTGGTACTAGCGTCAGGGAGGACCAGTGCATGCCGTATACGGACCGACGAGCGGCGGACAGCGACCTCGCCTGCCAAGCTCCTCCACAGGACTGCCGCTCCGAGGCAGGCCGGCCAGCCGCGCTGGCCAGGACGTGCCGAGTAGGGTTGGAAGAACAGATGATCGATTAATCGATTGTTCGAACAATCCGTTTCGATTAACGATTAATCGTCACCGATCGAGGAACAACGATCAACTCAGTTAATCGAACAAATGACGCGGTTAATCGAAAATTCACCCTTTCAAGAAAATGATGTAAACGCATGGAGCTGCGCAGGAATACTGACTCCTGTCCTGCCTGCAGTTCGAGTTTGAGCGAGCGAGTGCGGGGCAAGGGCGAGAAGGGGGAGGAGAGGAGGAGCGGCGACGATGGGGACGATGGTGGGGGACCAGCTTCGTCTCCCTCCCCTCCCCCCTTCCCTGCTCTGCGTGCTGCTACATGCTCGTGCTGCGTGCTGCGTGTGTGTTAGTGTGGTGTGTCCAGTCAGCCGGTCTAGTTCAGTCATTCATTCGGTTAGGTTCTTGATTGCGTCTTGGCTGTGTGTTGAGGCTTGCAGTGAAATAGGGTATTCCGATGGATCTGAACCGGAACCCCGAGCAGTAGAAATATCTGGATCCGGTATGAGAAATCTGGTGTGCGGAGGTCATTCGCACACCCGATTTTGCATACTTTCAGTCCTCCGCACACCTGATTTCTCATACCGGATCCAGATATTTCTACTGCTCGGGGTTCCGGTTCAGATCCATCGGAATACCCTATTTCACTGCAAGCCTCAACACACAGCCAAGACGCAATCAAGAACCTAACCGAATGAATGACTGAACTAGACCGGCTGACTGGACACACCACACTAACACACACGCAGCACGCAGCACGAGCATGTAGCAGCACGCAGAGCAGGGAAGGGGGGAGGGGAGGGAGACGAAGCTGGTCCCCCACCATCGTCCCCATCGTCGCCGCTCCTCCTCTCCTCCCCCTTCTCGCCCTTGCCCCGCACTCGCTCGCTCAAACTCGAACTGCAGGCAGGACAGGAGTCAGTATTCCTGCGCAGCTCCATGCGTTTACATCATTTTCTTGAAAGGGTGAATTTTCGATTAACCGCGTCATTTGTTCGATTAACTGAGTTGATCGTTGTTCCTCGATCGGTGACGATTAATCGTTAATCGAAACGGATTGTTCGAACAATCGATTAATCGATCATCTGTTCTTCCAACCCTACTCGGCACGTCCTGGCCAGCGCGGCTGGCCGGCCTGCCTCGGAGC